GGACTGCGGGAGCCCCCCTCCCCCCTTTGCCCGCCTTTGTTCCCAGCAGGTGCCACACGCCCATAGCAACACGGCACGGCCCAGCCAAGTTGGAATGAAAGAAGTAGCGGAGTCGCCATCAAGCTTGATTGCCCTGGAGAAGGCGACCGCTTCTCACAGATGGAAGCGATGTCCCCGGGTGTTGAAAAATGTGGTCGTCAGCCCCACAAATACAAACCGTGGCTCTTGTTGTCTGAGATGGGGAGTCCGGTCCAGAGGGCCGTGTGATGAAAGATGTTTGTGGAACCCATTTCCGTGCTGCCGGGAGCCCTCTGCTTTATGTCTGTAATATATAAACGGGCTGTTGGCAGCCCCGTCCCCAGTCCCAGGCTGCGCTCACTGCGCACGCAGGGTAAATTGACTGCTTCCCATGCGGTGAGCACCCGTGTGTTCCTGCTGCAGCCACGGCACCTCGCCTGCGGGGCTGGCCCGTGACGAAAGGGCCCAGGGGCGCCCCCTGACCCAGAGCTGAGTACCTGTGGGCCGTTGGCGAGCCGGGTGAGATAGAGCATCAGCGAAGGCTGTCTTTGGGAGAGCCTGCCTCTCCCAAAGGGATGAGCCACGCCACTTTGTCCTGTCCGAGGCGCATCTCAGGCTGGAGGACACAGTGGCTGCATACTTCTGGGCTCAGAGGGGAGGGCCGCACACCTGCACCATGTGTGCAGAGGCAGAAGCACTAGCAGAGCGGTTAAGATGCCAGCCGGGATGCCCAAATCCCCGTATGGGATACCCCACTAAGGGAGCATTTGCACCACTCGCTCTATCTGAATCCAGATCCCTGCAAGGGTTGCACCTGTTTAAAATCCTCCAGAGGGCCAGCGCACAGCTCACTAGGCTAAACCTCCGCCTGCGGCGCCAGCACCCCAGGTTCTAGTCCTGGTCGGGGCGCTGGATTCTGTCCCGGTTGCCCCTCTTCCAGACCAGCTCTCTGCTGTGGCCCGGGAAGGCAGTGGAGGATGGCCCAAGTGCTTGTGTCTTGCATCCGCTTGGGAGACCGGGGGGTGGGGGGGCACCTGGCTCCTGGCTTTGGATCGGCGCAGCGCACCGGCCGTAGCAGCCATTTGGGAGGTGAACCAATGCAAAGGAAGACCTTTCTGTCTCTCTCTCTCTAACTCTGCCTGTCAAAAAAAAAAAAAAAAAAAAAATCCTCCAGAGGCTCCTCCTCACCCACAAGGTAAAATTTAACTCTGCCAACCCTGGGGGCCTGGGCAAGCCTCCCCCTCCGGCAGCCTCATCTCCTGGGCTCTGCTCACCCCAACATGCTCTCTGCCCACTCGTTGCCCACCTTCAGCCACCTCGTCCGGTTTCCAGGCCTTGGCCTCACTGCTGCGGTGACTGTGTGCATTCCCTGTGTGTGTCTGCTGTGAACGAAGTGTCGCCTCCCACTGCAGACAGCACGGGGTTTCTGCTCAGCAGAGGCCTGCAGCCAAGGCGGGGGTGGGGCTGCATCCCTTAAGAGGCTCTGGGCCAGTCCGTTTTTGCCTCATGCAGCATCTGTCTGCAGCCACTGAAACTCTGGTTGGTGGTTCCTCCAGGCTTAAACCGAATAACCCAGCATGCCCTCCCATCTCAGGGGCCTTCGTTCACTCACACGTGCAGTCCCTTCTCCCGTAGGTGCTACCCCAGGCTCCGAGGACAGGGGCGGGGGCATCTTCAGGAGTCACAGTTCAGCCCCTCGCATCGTGCTCGGAACCCTGGCCTTGGGGGGTCCGTGTGTTGAGAATCTCTCCCGCAGAGGGCTTGCTTGCCAAGGTCGGGGGCCACACGTGCTTTTCTTTCTGGTGTAGTCCAGCGCCCGGCAGAGGACCTGGCCATGAGTAGATGCTTTGTGCAAAGCTGCCCTGCGGGTAGATGGAAGGAAGGCAGCTGTGGAGAGACGGGATGGTCTGAAAATGTGCAGGGGGCAGGCAGCACCCAGGAAGGGAACCTGGGGGGGCTTCTGGGCGCTGCCCTGGCCAGCAGCAGCTGTTACCCCACATTCTCCAGGGCCAGTGAGTGTGCAGCCAGCACACCCCTGTTGGTGAGAGCAAGGGGCACAGCCCGGCTGTCTTGCTTCATTCTAGTCCGAGTCTGTGGAGGGGGTTTTGGGGAGAGGGCTTCAGTACTCCCAGGAAGCCGGAAAGGTCCATTTCTGTCTCTGGAAGGCCCTATGCGGGCTCTGAGATAGACCCAAAGAGACCAGGTAGGCCTCCGACAAGATCCTCGGGCAGGGAGTCACCTGTTCTCTCGTTCACTCTGCACACGTGTCCTGAGCACCCGGGATGTGCTGGGTGCAGCGCCAGGAGCTGAGGGACCCAGATGAGGAAGCACCACCCTCTAGGAGCTGGCCTTGTACTTGGGGAAAGGCCGCCTGAGGAAAAAAAGAGTGGCAATAAAGATGTGTTAAGAAGCGATGCTGGTGCGGTTGGGGAGGGAGCCGGGGTGAACACTCCAGCGGGTGCGCGCTGGGGCCGGGGCAGGCTGTGGCAGCATTCGAAGGAGCAGCGTGTTGTAGGAGGGAGCAGGATGGTGGGAGGCTGGAGCAGGTGGACTCTGTTTGTTCTACCTCCGGTTTAATAATAAATTAAGAAAGCCCTGCGTGTACCTCCTTCTCAACGTGTTAAACTCTTGAGCAGCCACTGCTCTGTGGCCCTCCATCCTGTGCTTCCCGGTGAGCAGCCTTTCTCGGTATCCAGAGTCTCCCTCGCAGGTTATCAGAAGATAAGGGCAGAGGGCTCACTTCCATGGCACTCGTCCTGTGGTGCATATGATGGCGGCCCCACGGGGTGAGCCCGGTCAGTTCCATCACTGTGTTTCTCTGGGTGTGGCTTGCAAGGATGTGTAGCAGAAGCAAGTTGGAATAGACACATGGTGCAGGTGCGCGGCCCTCCTCACTGAGCCCGGAAGTGTGCAGCCACTGTGTCCTCCAGCCTGAGATGCGCCTCGGACAGGACAAAGTGGCGTGGCTCAGCACGCCCGTGGGGAGGAAAGAAGAGGCAGAAGCACTAGCAGAGCGGTTAAGATGCCAGCCGGGATGCCCAAATCCCCGTATGGGAGGGCCTGGGTTCGAGTTATGGCTCTGTCCCTGACTACAGCTTCCTGCTAATACTCATGCTGGGCGTCGGCAGGCGATGGAGCAACTGACTGAGTGCCTGCCGCCCACGTGGGAGACCGGCTTCTGGCTTGGATCAGCCTCAGCCCTGGCTATTGTGGGCATTTGGAGTGAACCAGAAGACAGCAATCCCTGGTACCTCCCCCTCCCCCCTCCCCCTTCCCCTCTTTCTCTCCCTCCCCCTCCCCCCTCTTTCTCTCCCTCCCCCTTCCCTTTCCCCTCCCTTCCCCCTCCCCTCCTCCCTCCCCCTTTCTCTCCCTCTCCCTCTCACTCTCCCTCTCCCTCTCTCTGCCTTTCAAATACATTTTAAATAAGAATAGTCATTTGTTCTCCTTCCCAACATCCTACTGCATTGCCTCGGATGCCCCCACTCAAACAAATGTTCTGATTTACAGTTGCCGGGAACTTTCTGAAAAATGAATCGGAGCCCCAGGTTACCTGAGAGATGCTGCACTTGCGTGTTTTAATGGCTCTCGAAATGTATGCTTCATCAAAAAGAAATAGAATGTTTAAAGGCTTCATAATAATTGTGCAAAACAGCCGCCCTCTTCAAACATATGCGGCTCTGGTGAATGGCCCAGCAGATAATACCTCAAAAACCACCCCCTCGCTGGGGGGCAGCCGGGAGCAGCCTGCAGAGCGCTTTCATCTCCCGTGGGAGGGGGTGATCCTGCAGTGCCCAAGCTCAGGAGACGTCAGAGCCACTGCGCTCTGCGTGCCCACGGGTGCACCGGGTACACCGGGCCTCACCACAGCCAGCAGCTCCACCGTCCGGCCGCCCACTACCCTCAGTGTTAAGTGAGCCCCGTGCTCGGAGCTGCCGTGCAGAGCCGAACAAAACAGCCAGCAGGCCGGCTCCCAAGGGGCGTACTGTCCAGAGGGGTAGGGAAGACACACGGAGCAGGTTGTTTTTCATACAGTGTGGCATGACATTCACCCAGGGTCAACCAGAGATCAAGTGACCCAAGCCAGGTGTCGTGACAGCTGCGGCTGCAGCAGCAATACTGAGACCAGGGGGAAAAGCCAGGAGGAGGACTCTGGGTCGCTGCTGAGCCCAGGATCTGATGCCGTCCACTGCCTGCATCTAGATGCCCTACCTGATGGGGCAGCGACCGTCACATAAACCCCCGAGGCTGGACGTCCAGGACCTGTAGCCAGACAAGCTCCTAACTGGTGCAGGCACGCAGCTGGCAGTGGGTGAGGGGAAGAGGCCCTGTGTCTGCAACTCACTCTCAAGCGTTTCAGAAAAAAACTCTATGAACAGAGATAGATGCACGGGCGTGTGTGTGTGTGTGTGTGTGTGTGAAAGAGTAACAGAAGTGTGGTGGAATGTTAACACATGGGGAATCTGGGTATAAGAATCCTTTTTAACAAGTGTTGCAACTTATAAGTCTAACATTTCAAATTAAAGGTTTTTTGATTTTTTAAATGCCAATGCACGCTTGGACCCTCAGAGGTGACATTATGGGGGTCTTAGCTCCTTTTGAGCCCAAGGTGACCCAGAGCACAGGGTCGGTACAGGGAGGAAGGGCAGAGTGTGGTCCTGGGGTCAGGCTGCCCGGGCTCCGGTCATGGCCCAGCAGCTGCTAGGGTTCCTGAGCCGTGTGGGAGCCACTTGGGGTTGTTGCAGGGATGCGTCACGAGAAGGTGCACACCTCAGCATAGCACCTGGCCCTGTTCCCGCCTGGCCCATGGTGAGCCTGCCACAAAAGTTCTTGCTGTTGTCGCCTCCTCCTCGGCCATCTTACCGGTGAGGAGGAACAGCCTGTGTGTGGTTTAGACATACTGATTGGACGGCTGTCTCAGTGCCAGCCCCTTGACATGAGCTTTTGTCTCTGTCCAGACAGGGTGGCAGCAGCAGCCGGTGTGGCTGCACCTGACAAGATGAAGAGCCGGATCCCTGTGGTGCTGCTGGCCTGTGGCTCCTTCAACCCCATCACCAACATGCACCTGCGCTTGTTTGAAGTGGCCAGGGACCACCTACACCAAACAGGTCAGTCAGGGGTCCCCGCATCCAAGGGAGGAGCTGGCGGGGTGGGCCTCATGGCGCTTTGCTGGCTGCTGTTGTCATCCACAGTGTAACTGGTGTGCCTTTCCTCCATTCTGTTCTGTTCGGAGGGCCGCGTGGCTTGTGCGCCAGTCTTATCCCCAGCCGTCTCCCCTCCCCAGCTGCTGCACATGGCCGTGACTGCTAAAACAGACAGCAGGTGCTTCACAGAACCTGTGCCTCAGTCAGGGCCTCCTTCCTGGGACCCCCAAGTCTCAGCCCCTCAGCCCAGTGGAGAGGTGGCCTGTGCCTTTGAAATCTGCTATTCCTCAGTGGGTGTGAAAACCTCCAATAATGAGGATTTTGACATTTTCTCCTTTTAAAGAATAGGTCTTAGGTGATTACAAATGAGCACTCTTGCACAGGGGGCATCTCCAATACAGATGGCATGACTTTGCGAGAAATATTTTATCAGCTGGAAATACACAGTCTGGGAGTGTTTCTCCTCCTCGATGTTCCATTTCATCACTGAGGGAGCACAGTGACATTTGCCGTCTGCATGGTTATTGCTACAGGGTAGAGTCATTTACATGTCCACATCAGGTATATGTGCTTTTATTTACTATTAGGGTTTGTGTATGTTTTATGTATTCATATACCTATTTTAATATTATTCCAGCTCTTTTTGCCTTTAACAACATTATTTTCACACCAGAATCAATTCCTATTATTTTTGATATGGAAAAAAGCATTTGAGTACCTTGTAAGTAACTTCTTCAAAGAAGTCACACACGAGAGTTAACTTGATTTGGAAGGAAATGCCTTTGTTTATGAAACTGTTTTTATTATTATTATTAGAAAAGTGAAAGTTGATGTGTACCTTTAGTATATAAATAGCTCTTATGAGGGAATAAATAAAAGGAATAAAAGTCATCTAATCAAGCTAAAACAGGGCAGTGGACATTAGTGGGCAGAATGCCAAAGAAGAGAGAGACATGGCCAGTAAACTCGGGAATCACGCTCAGAGACACTAACTGTCACTGACAGTTCAAACAGAAACCTGGTAAATTACCAAGTTGTAAGCACTCTGAGGGCAGCCGCTGCGACTGCTGGAACACGGCAGACTTGCCACCGTGTATCCCTGGGCTCGAGTATCTGGCATGGAAGGACATGGGCAAGCCTGTGAGGTTGGCACAGATTAAACACCGACAAAATTCGGTGCTGGTGGGCTAGGGAGGGAGACAGACAGCGTCACGTCCCGGTAGCGACTGGGTGAATAATGAGACATACCTGCAGGACAGCTTGGTGTTCAAGTCTGTGTTCACGTCAGGAGGAGGGGGAAATCAATCTGTGGAAACCAAGCCAGGACGGAGCAAGGACGACATGGTGTTAGAAGCTGCAGACAGAGAGATGAAAACAGTTATTGTTGCCAGGTACATGTGCTCAGAAGTTACGTAGAGGCCTGGGGAGCATCACAGGGCCCCAGATCCAACTTCCAGAGGCAGAGACTACAGCATCTGACCTGAGGAACACCCTGGGTGGGATTCACAGCAGATTAGACACTGCAGAAGAAAAGGCCAGTGAGCCTGAAAACACAGCAACAGGAACTATCCAAAGCCAGATACCGAGAGGAAAGGGAGTTCCAGAAAGAGTGTCGGTGAGAGGTGGGGTAATATTAACACACTTACAGTCGGAATCCCAAAAGGAGAAGACAAAGGAAGAACAGAAAAAATATTTGAAGAAATAAAGACTGAATTTTTCCAAATTTGCTGAAGCAGTGAACCCCTAGATCCACATCACTCAACAACCCCCACCACTAGAAACACGCACAAGATAACAGCAAGGTGTATGACAAGTGGATTTCTCAAAGCCAGTAGTAAAGGGAAAATCTTAACAGCAGCTACAGTGAAACAAAGCTAAGGCTTCCCCAAAAGAGAATCTAGTGAAGCGATACCTTCCAGAAACTGAAACCCCAGCAGCCTAGAATTCTGTGTCCGTCCTCTCTGCAGCAGAAGTTTCTTTGGAAAACCAAAGCAAAGACAAGACGTTTTCAGGGCCCAAAAGCTGAAAGAGCTCATTTACAAAAGCATAAAATAAAAGAAACACTTGGGGGTAAACCTGACAGAGATGTGCCAGACCCAGATGCTTCAAATGACAGAACACAGGGGCCAGCGTGGTGGCACGGTGAGCTGAGCCGCCGCCTGCAGTGCCAGCATCGCATATTGGCGTGCCGGTTCCAGTCCCGGCTGCTCCGCTTCTGATCAGCTCCCTGCTGATGCCACTCCTGGGAAAGCAGAAGCAGCACTTGACCCAGCTGCTTGGGTCCCTGCCACCCACCTTGGAGACCGGTTGGAGCCCCAGGCTCCTGGCTCTGGCCTCAGAGTAGAGAGGTCTTGGTGCCAAGTGCCCTCACCTTCTTGTCATGGTTCTCGGCCCTCCTTTCATAGAAAGTACTCGGTCATTCTTGAAGGTCCGGAGTGAACCCTCCTGCCTGTGTCTTGTGTGTTTACACCTGGCGGTGCCACCTTTCAGTGTTTCATAATTTTCCTGCATCTCCTCTGGACTGGGCACTGTGACTATAAATAACGTCAATTAAATTGTGTCCCCTGCCCAACAGGTGTGCCCAGCCTAGGTGGCAGGGGACACATGGGGACAGGGATTGTGGAAGCAGGTGCAGAGGAGGGAGGTCGTCCACCTGGCAGTCGGGAGAAGCCCCTTAGAGGAGCTGGCCAGTGTGGGAAGCTCCTCCGGGTGGTTTAGGGGCACTGTGGGCAGGGAAAGCTGGAGACAGGTGAGAACCGTGCTCCACACACGGCTGGCGGAGCTGTGCGGGAGGGGACTTCCTCGCCATCGTGAGGTGTGTGTGATGTGAGCTGCCCTGCTTGGCGTAGTCAGGCTCCTACCCACAGCCTCCCACAGCGCAGAGCCGTGACCCGCCCCGCCGTCTCCGCAGCAGTGCCTTTCACTCTTGGTCTGAATCAGCCCACAACTAAACTGCGGGAACATCTGGCCCCTCAGCCGACTTTGGTTCTCACGAAGAAAACCGAATCTCCCTTCTGTGGGAGTATTCACTGACGGCTCGCGGTTTGAATTGGCTGTTGTGTGCCTGTAGACCGAGTTAACAAGCAGAGGCCACTTGCTTAGTGCCCTTAGCGGAAGTGAACAGCATCCCTGGTTCGCTGCAGCTCTGCTTCCTCTCTGAACTTTTCCCCTCTGCAGGCTCCCCTTGCCCAGGTGCACCTGCGCTTCCTCCCTCGGCGTATTTCTTCCCTTTTCTCCTGAAACAACCCAGCCCTGCGAACTGACAGAGGCCCTGTGGTGTAGCCAGACTTCCAACCCTCTGTAGTCCTGTGACGCCACACCGCTCCCTGATGAAGGAAATCCACGTTAGGTAACAAGAAACTGGCACCTGTCGGTTTCCTTGTGCGGGCTTCCCTGTCGGAGCATGTTGAGCCGTTTGCTTGGGGGCGAGGGGCCTGGGAGCCTCCAAGCTGTCTGTGCGTCTCCTGCTCTCCGCTGTGAGTCCCTTTTGTCGTAGGCATGTCCCTGCCTGATGACTTGTGCTGCGTGGGCTCTCACAGTTGTAAAGAGTTTACTTGGGACTTTTGTCCTTGGTTTGCTGATTTCCGACAGAAATGATCCAGCCGAACATACGACCAGCCAGTAGCTTCAGACAGACCCCCAGGGTATTGGGAATTGTGTTGAGAATGGCAGCCTGCCTGTCTCTTAAGATGTTGGATGTATTCCCGCTTGTAAGTGCTTGTTTTCCCAACATGCAGTCACAAACTTACTCTTGGAGGCTGAATTAAATCTCAACCCCACTTTTCTGTGATTTAGACGGGTGGCTGTTGCTAATCAATGTAATTTGGCCATCGGCCTGCATTTCAACAACAGCCCACTTGTATTTTTTTTTTAATCAAATTTTGCCAATTTAATTAATACTTACTCACTGAACATCTATTTAGCACCTGCTCATGTTCCATGTTTATCAAACATCGATGTTCTTCGCTCTTTGCCAGGTCCTGCACACTAAGGCTTCATTACAGCCTTGGAAGCTGAATCCTCTGCCTCTCCTGTTTCCCAGGTGAGCAGGCTGAGGCTCCGAGAGGCTGAGTTCCCACAGGCAGTGCAGCCCTCCTGCGTCAGTGTGCCTGCCTGTTAGCACCCTGCCATGCCACTGCATTCGTCCAGCAGATCTCTTGTTGAGCATCTGTCTGTGCTGGGTGTAAGAACATGGGACAGCAGAAGTTGCCCCTGTGCTCCCGGGGTGGGCTGGGGTATGACAGACACCAGTCGGACCCCACAGGGGCAGAAATTACCAAGGTGGCCTATGCCAGGCAGGGAACATTCCCAATTCTGTCAGCAGGAGCAGCGTGGTGATTTGATGCAGGTAAAGAGTGCAGAAGAGGTGTTCCTGAGGATGTTAGGGACTGAGCCGCTGAAGGATGAGGAGGCGCTTCTCAGGTGAAAAGCGAGGTTGGTTGGGGCCAGGGGGGTGCAGGGAAAGTCTTGGTGTGGGAAAGTGCACGTGTGGTGGAAGAGGATGTGGCCACCAAGGAATGAGTAAGTCATGAGAGAAGCAGAGGGAGAGTGCAGTAAGTTGGGGTGAGGTGGGGGCAGCCAACCACGAGTGCCTTGCAGGCCTTTGGTAAGAAATCTGTTTTTATCCTTAGAGCTGACAGACGAGAATTTTTGCTCATCTCCCTCTCTCTGCCGTGCGTATTCACACACGCTGAACAGTGAGGGGAAGCCTGTTAGGAGGCAGTTGAGGTAATATAATTTTTAAAAAAGATTTGTTTATTTTAAAAGAGTTACAGAGAGAAAGGAAAAGAGAGAGAGAGCGCGCGCACTTCCATTCACTGGTTCACTCCCCAGATGGCTGCAATGGCTAGGGCTGGGCCAGGCTGAAACCAGGAGTTTCTTCCCCATTTCCCACATCAGGGCAGGGGCCTGAGCCCTTGGACCATCTCCTGCTGCTTTCCCAGGCCAGCACCAGGGAGCTGGAT